TTGGTACGTTGTGGTCTGTTTGATTGGTATATAAACTAAGTGTGTTTGAAATATAATGGTTCATATAGCAGAGGCTTGGATTGGTGTTATGGATTTAACAGGATAAGCTAGGCGGGAAGCAGGATCAATCAGAACTGTAGGCTGATCGCCCGTGTTTTACGCGTCATTGATCCGATCGATAAGCTACTGTTCTCTATTCGCGGTCACAAGTTATAACACCGGCACTCATTAAGCAGTAAATAATCATGTAAAGAATAATGCAAAAATTCAATTAGGTTTTATATTTTGTAAACAAAATCACAGAAATGATCATTAATAAAACATGTAACATTGTTCAATGAAACGATATTCAAACTATTGAAATGTACAACAAAAAATTTTCCAATAAAATACAAAAAAAAGGAACAACTCAGATCAAATAAGAACAAATTATAAGTAGTTTCTAAGAATCATACATTACTTTCATTTCTTTTAGATAATCCTAACTATACGACATACTGCAATGAATAAGAGTATTTGAATTATAGTACAAACTAGAAATGTCAGAAATTACACAATTTAAACAAGAGGTATTAGATAGGCATGAATGAATGTATTGTATTTGAAATTTGAAATAACTTAGTAAGCAACTACAAAGGAATCATTAGATTATACAAACACAACACAACATTCCGTGCATACAACACGGGAAGCAACAATTGGTAGTATTAACAATTACAAGTAATGGAATGATTTACTTTCTTCATAAAGTAGTATTAAGATAAAAATGAAATAGTTCAAGGATTAGGTTTCCATTCATTGATTAATGTTCTTAACGTTAACGGTTTCTACTGTGATGCTTTCAAAAATGGTTTCACTATAATTGATGAATGATTCTACATTCGACTAATCAAAAATCTTGTTCTTGTGAATAAACAAAACAGAACATTTATTACAAAATGAGAAACATTCATCAAATATTTAATTATCAGTGTTACACTGTTTTCAGTATTGATTACATAGTAGAATTGAACAAATGGTAAAAGGGTTTGCATTTGTACAATGTGACTAATGAACAATAAATGTGATAATTTCTCACTATCCTACAATGAACTGACAACTTTTATTTGTGATGGAAGCATTTCATCGAGGATACATATTTCTCAACAGCAATCCAAAATCCTTGTTCTGCACTTCAACAATGAGAGTCTACAAACTCTTACTAATTGTTCAAACATGACTACGTTTCATCTCTCGAACCTATTTCATCGGTATTGTTTAAGAATTCACATGGATATACGGTGTCATCCTGCATTTCTGAAGTCATTACATGTTCAGTGGGCTGAAAAATTAAGAAAACTGTAAACGCTTGTATTAAACCACGCTTCCATTGATTGTTTGCTGCTTTGCTCATATCTGAATAGATATCGTCAACTCATACAAAGCTTTGAGCTGTTCACTGAGAGATGGATAACAATCATTACGGTTTGTTAGTAATAAAATGTTCTTCTGAGTCAAGGGGTTTACGATGTGAAAGATAGCAATATTGTAAGCAACGTATGAAGTTTATTTCGACAGCTCAGATTCTAGCAATTACTCCTCAGAGAGGCGGTTTGTGGATACACACTGCTGAAGACATTCAAAATAGGACGGAACGACCGTACAGTGCTTCCAGGTTTTCAATCGTCGTCTAGTTTCAATTGACTCATGATTTCAATTATTTAAAGAACTACGTTTATTGATTTGTTAATAATCATAAAAATGTTACATCGTTGCATAAAGAAACTTGTCCAACTAATTGAAACGGATAACATGATAGAAAAGTTTCCTGATGAAATGCGAAACAAAAGCAACTCGATGAAAATGATAAAAACAAGTTTTAGCACTTTTCTAAAAAATCATAAATTACCTTTCTTTCTCTTATATAACCATCGCCAAATAATACATCCAATGCATAAAACACAAAATGACACGACTATTGGTATCACAATATAAAGATAATGAAGTGTGTTATTGTGTTCAGTCATCCCAGATGTCACGTTCTAAAGAGAAACAAAACAGTAGCGTTAATAACAACTATCGAATATTAAAAGCAAATAGTGTTCAATCTTTACAATAGTTGTCTGGATTTCATCTCCAAAGTGACCATCAGTGATTTGTTTGTTCTGCAGTTCAAAAATATGCGTCAACAACAGCTTTGATGTAGTAATCGAGTGATGAATGTCAATAAGTACGTATTCGTGGTATTAAAAATTTCTTTAGAGTAAATAGACTTACAATGTGAAATATAGTGACATTGTAAACAATCAATTAATTTTAACAATTACTTACTTGAACACGGTAATTAGTTTCATTCGATTTATGACTATCCTTGTCATTGCTATTAATGCACATGTTGATTTTTTCACTCCAAAAGCATTTCATATTTGATGTTGTCACGTTTAGACATTCATTGATGGAATTGTTCTCCGAACAATGTCCTATGTAAACAAAAAATAGGGTTGACTGTATTGTAAGTTATCAATGAAATGATAAAAGAATAACACGTGTAATTATAACTTATTGGGATCATGATGAGTTTAGAGTTTAGTGACTATTCTTTTCATTGGAAAATTGCTATCACATTGCGTAATGTGACATTTAGTACATTTTCCATGTCACTCACATTTCACGGCAGCATGTTCAAATGGAATAAAATTGACTATTTCGAAAGTCAGTTATTCTCTGACTGAAAACGCATTTTCAATTATGTTTGATTCAATCGAACAAAAGGAAAGAGTGACTTTGCTTTACAAATCAACATTGAGGTATCATTGATCTTTCATTGATCTTTTATAATGGAACGTTTCAAAATATGTTACCACATTCTAGTCTGTTTGATGTCAGTAAGGACTTCAGACTTGTAGGACTAGTGGAAATCAATCAACACTGAAAACGATACGAACATTAGATTATGGATTTATTCTCTCGGTAGTCGAAATGTGATTTGAATAGTCTTTGAATAGCTTTCATCCACTCACCGTACATATTCATGAGTAAAGGAACATTCTTATACCGTAAAGACCCTCAGTAATGTTGATAATGTACATATGTGTTGACTATGAAAAAATGTAATTGGAACGCGTAATTTGTCTACGTTTTCGATCTATCAAACAAGTAGGACAAATAAGGGATTTTAGAAATAAAACTATTACCTCCAACGTAATCACAATTACATGAAGTGTTTTCACCATTTCAATATCCAAAAAAAATTTGATATTCCATATACTTTGTGAAAAAACAATGGACGCCTCCTCGTGACTATTCAATCTACCAAATGACGATCAACGTTCTCGACAATTATGTCATCTCACCCATCGTTTTGTGGTTTTGGTTCTAAGACAATTTCATCAATGTGAAGACTTCTATAGTTCAAAATGTGTTCTTATTGAATAAATAATAATCATAAGTAGTAAGTAAAGTGCAACTGGATATCTCTAAATAGCCGAATAAAATTACACATGAAAGTTACAGTCTGATTAAACAAAAGTGATGTATTCAAGTGTGGAAATAGTTGATGATGATTAAATAAGGTTCAACATACTCTCGATGGGTTCAAACTCCACTGATGTGCCACTTTTGATCCATTCTTTAGAAACAATTATTTCAAGTGCTCTCACAATTTCTTCTATGCATTAAATAGAAAAAAGACGCTTGAAATTTTAATTTTCGTCTGTATAATTTTATGATTAATAAAGTATGGAATTGAAAAATCTCTGACAACAGATACAGTGACGTTCACACAACATTCTCTACATCACTACTGGTTTCGAAAGTGACCAGTGTTTAAACAGTGAATGAAGAATGATTTCTTTAGATTTATGATTCATTTTTCAATAGTATCAGTGTGACACCTCAACCTCTTGACTAAATATTTCGTGAATTTTCTCACATTCCATCACGAAACAATGAATCTCACGCTTGTCTTGAAACTCATCTTAATCAGTGTGTCATGGCGATTGAACATTGTATAAAATAACTATCAGTTACAAGTACTACTCGTTCCTTTCGGTTTGATAAAAGGAACACTTCTTTTGGCTTTGAGTAGTGATATGATTGAGTACGACAAGTTCGTTCTGTGGGCGAGTGGATAGATGAGTGAATACACAGTCTACCGAATATTGTCGATCTTATATCTCTGTCTGGATCATTAAACATATGAGAAAGCATTCTCCAAAAGACATCCACAATGATATTCACACATTTTAATTATATCACTCAGAATATTAGGTTGGTCAATCGTCAGCAAATGTGGATCTCAAAGTTCGTAGTTGACGTAGTTTATCACAGAAAATTGAAACAGTGCCATTGTAGTGAACAAGAACACGGGTGAGGACAATCGATTGTATTTAGCACAAAGGTTACAGACTATCTCAATAAAATGTGAATACCATAAAGTCAATCGTCAATTTGCAAAATATCATTCCATCATATCAAACTTTACTGTTCCCGTTGCAAACACTAATCCATTGTCTCCCATTCCATTGTACATGTGTTTTCTTACAATTCCATTGTGCTCTTGCTCTTCCTTTCTTGATCTTCGCCATCTTCTGCTGCCGGACCTTACGTTTATTTAACGCACGTTATATACTACTTATATGAATATAAGTAGCTCACACCACACCATTACAATTTCACGACAACAACTCAAATCTATTCTGTTACAGTAACAAGCATGACGGTTGTTGAATTGAAGACACAGACACTTTGACATCAATAAAGGTATATACGGTGAACAATCGCTAGAACGACTTCATTACAAACACTGGACAACCTAAGGATTAAATAGAGCTATTATTCTTAATTAATTGTGTTAATACAATTTTTCATCTAGAAGTGTGATTGACCGTGAGTTTTTGATATACAGTGACGTTTGAACAGTGCATTCACAAATACTAATTGATTTTGTTTTGCACAATTTTCCTCAACACTTCAACGACAATTTTATCAATTTGTATCACGCGCGAAACAACTGATTAATGTAGACAGCAAGAAATTTAGATGCAGATAACCACGTACGAATGGAAAATAATATAACTCTAACAGGAGGCTGTTGAAAGAGTTTAAATTACATCAAAATAATAGCATTAATTATTACCTTCCACCTTTTTTTCACACCGAATTGCACAATGAATCTTAGAGTACATGGCATCTTCCTCAGGATCCGTAGGTATCTGAAATGGATTATTTGAAGTCTGAGTCAGCGTCAGTGAACACACAAACAACTATGTCCAAAACAACTGATCAATGAAGTACTGTGTCATCATTAATAATAAATTACTCAGAGACAATTAGTCACACAGTAAGCATATTGATATTACCAGCTAACTCAGAACCATCCTCTACCCAGTCCACATGCATATTCTGAATGATGCCATTTGTCAACTTCACTAAAGTCTGATGAACGATCTGGATATCATGGAATGAGGTGACACACTGTGAGATGAATGTCTACGTCTGCCGAAATGAAGACTCGATCTGAATAACCGCATGGGTGTCGTGTGTGAATTTCTCATCATGTGACGTGATTACGTCCATCTACTGACGTTCACTTTTCAGAATAGTCATTTCCACAATGTCTGCTGGTCACTAAGAAATAGTCTACGCGTATTAAGTTCAACATACATAAAATCTTTTATTGACAAGCCCTTTCAAGTAACCCACCAGCTACTGTATTCCAAACAGGTGAAATATCAAAGATTGACATTCAAAAATATACGTACTGTAAAATGATCAACATGTTAAGCATCAGATCACTCAGAAGACTCAAAAATAGATTTTTTGATCAAATTATCATTACAAGATGAAACAAAGCTTGGTAGCATATGACTTCCTTTACGGTACTTTAAAATACATTATCCGTCTCTATTTTGTTTGCACAGAGACATCATCGTTTATTTTGAAGGTACTTCCCTTTCAATTACTCACCGTTTTTAACAAGTAGAAGAATAAATTCTGTATCGTTCAAAGGCTATTAATAGTGTCTTATATTCTGTTTGTACATTATAACAGTTGATCTCTTTCAGTCGTGTTCAATGTATCATGATGCATTCGACGATACTCATTTACAAGAATAGTAGATTAATCTGTAGTGCTTGAAAAAAATGTATTCACACTCAACTGTGCAACTTACATTCTCATAATAGAAAGATATCTTCCCATTTCTATGTATCATGTTAGTTACCTTGGCTGTGAGACCTGCAAACGCAATACCATCAATATTTAGAACTGTGAGGGAATAATGATGAGCATGTTATTGTTAGATGTGGCAGTGTATATATCTACTCACAAAAATCACCAAGTTTAGTCAAACATTTACTGTGTTATCGCAAATATTCTTTTTAAGTTGAATTTGTATTGAATATTATCATGTGAACGTCGTGTAAATGAAACAAACATGATTCTTTCAAAATGAATCTCAGACGCTTAGACCTTGAAGCGTGAGAGGTATTCAGTGTTTTGCAATATTTTATATATTTCCTTTCAAAATAATCAACCCTAGGAACATATGACACTTGTTGTACAGTGTTTTTTCACGAATGGAACTTGAGAGTTTATATGCTCACCGGTAAATCAATCGATTGCCTGACTCTGACCATAGTGTTTATAAAGAACAAAGAATTATTTGTTAAATATACGGAGTGAATACTTTAAGACATTATCGTCTTAATGATTTCCTGAATTGATTGAATAATATGTGAATGTGAGTCAATGTGTAAATGAATTCGCTGTGTACAGAAATGACTTCGTGACGAACATAAAACAAAATTTATTTGTTATAAAGAACTGACTTCACACCAAGTTCCACTGAAGCCTTTCAACGAAGTTGAACCTCAGTCTTAGTTTTTCCATAAGTCAAACTAGATTGTGCCTTTGCAATGACTTACTTTTATCACGAGAACGCGATTGATTTAATGAAAACATTTATGATTATAACCTATTGTACCAATGATTATTTTACTGTGCTCGTTTGTTTAACTGTGTTAAAAACAGCTATATTACTACTACTCGATTGACTGTGACCTTGCACAGGTTCGGTTACGCTTGGTAACCACGCTTGTACTCCTCTGGCACGATCTCGGTACCACGAGATCGCCAACAAATACATCTCGACTACAGCCATCAACTGCCTTCTTATATTTGGCTTACAGGGGATTTTATCGGTTAACTGGCAAGTAGTCATCTTGTAGTGGTGTTCATATTCAACCGCGACTCGATACCACGCTACACCTTCATTCATTTATTTTAGAGAATGTTAGCTGTCCTCCAGGTTGAAGTCAATGTGTTTAAATGATCAATGGCTTCCACGTATAATTTGGCACTCATCTTCTACAAACCTCCCACAATATTATTTTTGTCAGTCATTGGGGAAAATTGAATTACACAACATGAACAGTTAAAGTGTGAGTAATCACAATGAGTGAAATTTAAAGTGTTAAGAATTCACAAGTTATCAAATGATCATTCAATGTTTACTTATATTTACCATCAACATATGTCCGAAGATACCATTTAACAGACAGTAATTCATCTGAAAAAATGAAAATCAAGAAGATATTTGTATATCAGCGTAATAAATATCTATTGGTTTAAATAAACGTATATCTTAACACAGAATAAATTTGGACACGAGTTATCACCTTCCTTTCGAGATTAAAGTGAACAGGTAAAGTTAAATGAACAATCATCTTTCATGAGGAAGTTTTAAAGATTAATATTATTACTTACTATGAACGTTTTAATCTGATCGTCTGAGAATATTATTTTGCTGCTGCACCGTTGGTTCTAGGAGCGTTTGAGTGACTAAGAGATCTTTAATATCTGTTTGACAAAACCCGTACGAAATCGTTTTTTGGAGATTCTGTTATTCAGGTAAAACGGTGTTCTGTCAACTGAACTAATTATTAAGCAGAAATATTACTCCAGTGTCCTTAATTCTGACAGCTAACCGAAATGAATGAACTTAAATTTGATAGTCTAAGTGTTTTAGTTTGAATAAGTTATCGTCGTTCGTTCATTGATGGTTTCTGGGAAGGCGTGGGTTGAAATGTAGTTATCTTACAAACATAATTCCGCCTGGAGTCCCTCCAGGGGCTACTGCCGGTCTCAGGCCCGGATGAAGGAGGGTTGGGTATGGGGTTGGCGACCCCATCCCGTAGAAAACTAACTCGCTAAAAGACGCTAACTGGAAAAAAACCATTCAAATCTTTTAAACTCTGCCCCGGGAGTAAGAAGGTTTACATTTAGAAGAACTATGACGCCTCATGATGAAAGCCGAATTCCTTCGGAAGTTACGAGGCCGATGCCCCTTCTGACAACCAGAGCGACCATTTATGTAGATACATGGAATGTTCGTACAATGTGGGACACCGGGAGAGCCTTCCAGATTGCTGCAGAAATGAGAAGATACAACCTAGAGGTACTTGGGATCAGTGAAACACATTGGACACAAGTTGGACAACAACGACTAACTACAGGAGAGCTCCTGTTATATTCCGGCCATTAAGAAAAAAATGCACCACATACACAAGGAGTTGCATTGATGCTGTCCAAACAAGCGCAAAATTCGCTTATAGGATGGGAATCTCAGGGACCAAGGATCATCAAAGCCTCCTTCAAAACAAAGAAAGAGGGCATTTCAATGAACATCATCCAATGCTATGCGCCTACCAACGACTACAATGAAGACGCTAAAGATCAATTCTACAATAGGCTGCAGTCAATAGTCGAGAAGTGCCCAACAAAGGACCTGACCATTCTGATGGGAGATTTCAACGCCAAGGTTGGAACGGACAACACTGGATATGAAGACATCATGGGACGACACGGACTTGGAGAAAGAGACGAAAATGGTGAGAGATTTGCAAATCTATGTGCTTTCAATAAGCTGGTCATAGGCGGCACCATATTTTCACATAAACGCATACAAAAAGCACATGGGCTTCACCGGATCACTCTACACAAAACCAAATCGACCATATTTGCATCAACTAAACGTTCAGGAGGAATATGGAGGACGTGAGAACCAAGAGAGGAGCTGATATAGCATCAGATCATCACTTGCTGGTCTCCAAGATGAAATTGAAACTCAAAAAGCACTGGACAACGTGGAGGACAATATCACAAAAGTTCAATACGGCCTTTCTTCAAGATACTAACAAACTCAACAAATTCAAGATAGTCCTCTGCAACAAGTTCCAGGCCTTTCATGATCTACTCAATGGAGAAGGAACTACTGTGGAGAGCAAATGGAAGGGGATCAAAGAGGCAATCACTTCAACATGTCATGAGGTCCTGGGTCACAAGAAGCACCATCACAAGGAATGGATCACTGTTGGTACACTGGATAAGATTCAAGAAAGGAGGAACAAGAAGGCAGCGATCAATACCAGTCGAACAAGAGCAGAAAAAGCCAAGGCACAAGCTGAATACACAGAAGAAAACAAACAAGTGAAGAGGAGCATCATAACCGACAAACGTAAATATGTGGAAGATTTAGCAATGATGGCGGAAAAGGCTGCAAGAGAAGGAAACATGAGACAATCGTATGACACGACAGGGAAACTCTCTGGAAATTGCCGCAAACCAGAACGACCAGTGAAAAGCAAGAAAAGCGAGGTAATCACCAACATTGAAGAGCAACAAAACAGGTGAGTAGAACACTTCAAGGAACTCTTGAATCGACCAGCTCCACTGAACCCACCCAACATCGAAGTAGCACCCACGGACCTCCCAATCAATGTTGGCCCACCAACAATTGAAGAAATCAGCATGGCCATCAGACAAATCAAGAGTGGCAAAGCAGCAAGACCAGACAAAATTTTAGCAGAGGTACTGAAAGCAGACGTAGCGGTAACTGCAAAGATACTCCACATTCTCTTCAATAAGATTTACGATGAGTAACAAGTACCAACAGACTGGAAAGAAGGACTTCTGAACAAAATACCAAAGAAAGGCGATCTCAGCAACTGTGATAACTACAGGGGCATCACTCTTATCTCAATACCGGGAAAAGTCTTCAACAGGATATTGTTAAACAGGATGAAGGATTGCGTAGACGCCCAACTTCGAGACCAACAAGCAGGATTCCGTAAGGATCGATCGTGTACAAATCAAATCGCAACTCTACGAATCATTGTGGAACAATCAATTGAATGGAGTTCATCACTCTACATCAACTTCATTGACTACGAAAAGGCATTTGATAGCGTGGACAGAACAACACTATGGAAACTTCCTCGACACTACGGCGTGCCTCAGAAGATAGTCAATATCATACGGAACTCATATGATGGATTACACTGCAAAATTGTGCATGGAGGACAGTTGACATAGTCGTTCGAAGTGACGATCGGTGTTAGGCAAGGTTGCTTACTCTCACCCTTTCTCTTTCTCCTGGTGATCGACTGGATCATGAGGACGTCCACGTCTGAAGGGAAGTGCGGGATACAGTGGACATCCAAGATGCAGTTGGACGATCTAGACTTCGCAGATGATCTGGTCATTCTATCGCAATCGCGACAACAAATGCAGGAGAAGACGAACAGTGTGTCAGCAGCCTCAGCAACAGTAGGTCTCAATATACACAAAGGGAAAAACAGGATTCTCTAATACAACACAACATGCACCAATCCGATCACAATTGACGGAGAAGATTTGGATGATGTTAAAACTTTTACATATTTGGGCAGCATCATTGATGAACAGGGTGGATCTGATGCAGATGTGAAGGCGCGGATCGGCAGAACAAGAGCAGCATATTTACAACTGAGGAACATCTGGAACTCAAAGCAACGGTCAACCAACACCAAGGTCAGGATTTTCAATACAAATGTCAAGACAGTTCTACTGTATGGAACGGAAACTTGGAGAACTACGAAAGCAATCATCCAGAAGATACAGGTGTTTATTAGCAGTTGTCCATGCAAAATACTTCGAATCAGTTGACCGTACACTATTAGCAATAACCAACTGTGGGAAAAAACAAACCAGATCCCAGAAGAGGAAGAAATCTGGAAGAAGTGTCGGAAGTGGATAGGACACGCATTGAGGAAAGCACCCAACTGCGTCATAAGACAAGCCCTCACATGGAATCCTCAAGGCCAAAGGAAAAGAGGAAGACCAAAGAACACATTACGCTGGGAAACGGAGATAGACATGAGAAAAAATGAACAAGAATTGGATGGAACTAGAAAGGAAGGCCGAGGACAGAGTGGGTTGGAGAATGCTGGTCTGCGGCCTACGCTCTATTGGAAGTAACAGGCGTTAGTAAGTATCTTACAAACATGATAACCTGGAGAGTGCTTAAAATCTAACGGTCCATGGACAGTGACTATGTTTATTGTCTCAAACTTTTGTGAACGAAGTTAGTGCCAGAAAACATTGGAGGACGTCAAATATAATTTTGCAGTTCATAAGCCTTAAAGTTCAAATTGACTTCTGGAACGTGTTTGCTCATAGTCTTAGGTGTGATTGATGTGATTCATTTGGTCTATAAAGACGTGTCGTGTCGATGATATATCTTTTGCATTGTAGTTCAGATAGACTGGAGAGTAGATGACCATGATTTAGACAATTACGCCATTCGGTTTTTGTCTTTTCTCCTAAATCAGATTGTGTTTATTGTAAAATGAAACCCTGTTTTCTTTAACATTTTTGCTTGATAGTAATGAATAGTGTTGTTAACGCATGCTGTGGTACCAAATTACACAAACAAAATAACCACTGTGTACTGGTCAGCTCTCGTGTAATAATCAGGTTATATATTTAACCTTTGATGCAAACCAATTGTGAGAATAACAAAACTAAATGTAACTGGACAACAGAAGAACTCACTGTTATGTAGAATCTCATATTCAGGATGAAAAACGCCTGGAATAGTATTGTGTATAATCCCGAGGTTTCCTTGTCCAAATATTTCTATATAACCTGTGTTTATTTGATGAAAGCATACAATTTAATTGAAATTCTATAATGGATGAATGAAATATTTCGAAATGAACTGGAGAAAAAATGAATTTCATGAACTGTAATTAGTTTGCTGTAAGAAATCGAAAGTTTGAAAAGTTCAACAAGAAGAAAAGCAATCTATCAAAAGTTTTGAATGTCAGGAAAAGCATAAAACTGATTCATTGAAGACTATATAGCAAACTTGATTCATGGAATGAATTGTGATTAACAAAACTCAATAACAATTTTAAGTGAAAAAAAAATTATCTTACCATCACGAGAAATCTGAAATCTGGTGACGTTATTACCGTAATATTTAAACGAAAATTTCGGTTCAACATTCTTAAAAGATGCAAACATAAGAATTAGTAATTCCATTACAAAATGTAGTCAACTCACCTGAGTGGTACTAAAGTTTTTAAAACTGTCACTTACAACTGGATACGTCTGATTGTGACGTATTGTTCGTGAGTAATAATAATGCTGAGACTGTGTATGTGCATTAGAATCTGACTGTATACTTACATATTTATATGAACCGTTTTCTGAAGTCACATTTTCATATGTCGCTAACCCAGGGTTTTCGCAGATATTTTGACAGTCGAAGAATTTGGAAAGCATGATGACGACCAAATAAACTGGTATCAACAGAACAGATAGATTAGTATATCTAAAATGGTTGATATGAAGAAAACAATGTTATCCCGTTGAATCAGACCAAAATCCATATAGTTCAGTCAACACTCACCTCATTTTCTAGCTCAAAATGGTGAAACAATCTTACCAGAACTTGTTAGGTTTATATAGATTTTTCAGGTGTATGTTTGTTTGTTTCTGGTCCAATGATTCAAAGTAACCATTAGAAAGATCTAGTTTGTTAAAATTATTTGATCATTGATAAACAGTAATTGTGGTAGATGAACTCATTGTTATCCAACATTTTTGTAAGTTGCCATGAGGTGGGCTGATATTTATTAACCGTTGATTGGAATTCATGACCTCTATTGATGAGAACATTTTTGGATAAGAATGGCAGTTATCTAAAATAAGTAAGCATTTTATTTGCAATACAAAATGTATGTTTATATGTTCATGAACAAACATTATGTTGCCTAGAATAATCTTTTAATTAACTGTTAATGGTGCATTATTTTCATTGGATGTCAAAATTAACATTTTTACATTAGAAAATTTATTTCAATAAAATAAAATCTATCAGATGATTTCCTAATCGTTCAATATGATTGTAATAAAAAGGAAGAAAATGCATTTCATTGAAAGTGAACTTTTAACAATTGTGAACTATTTCTCGAAGCATTCACGGTTTTCCATTTTAGGTACAGTAATCACTGTACCTTAAACCTAATAAAAATGTTATCGCACAATTAGAAGACTGATTTTCATTTTAGAGTATCAATTAATTATTTCTACATATCGTTTGAGCTTGTAATAATTGCTAACTCTGTATACAGATACGAGTGAATCACTGTGGTATAATAAAGTCGAACGTATAGTTGCAGCAATTTGGAAGACTCTCCCGGTTTCCCACATTGTACGAACATTCCATATACCTAAATAAATGGTTGCTCTGGTTATCAGAAGGGGCATCGGTATTGTGACTTCCAAAGGAACTTGTCGTTCACCATGAGGCGTCATATCTCTTCTAATTGAAGACCTTCTAACTCCCAGGGCAGAGTTTAAAGGGTTTGAATATTTTTTTTCTGGTTAGCGATTTTTAGCGAGTTAGTTTTTTACGAGTTGTGGTCGCTAACCACATGCCCAACTCTCCTCTTTTATCCGGGCTTGGGACCGGTAGTGGCCCTCAGAGGGACTCATGGCGGGGTTTAAACATATATTTAGTTCGCAATGAATGCCAAGGAGTGATAAATGAATACCAGTCGATAATTTATCAAAAAAATAATCATGTCAATCAAATAATTTTAAAATATTTGTGTTCGGGTGATATTTGTAAATAGGAACTCTCGGTTCAATTGAGGTGTATTGTTCACCAATAAAAATGTGTCCACAATGATCAAAATATTATTTTTTCGAGTATTACAGTTTGTAGTCGAGTAAATAGTTGTTGTGTAGTCTCGTGAATTCATCGGCATCAAAATACATTGTCTATTCTATACCGTAAATCAGTATCAATATATGAGCAGAAAACATATGTATATATAACAGGATAAACAGTGAATGTGCTAGAGAAGTACTAATCTAAATTGTATGTGTTTTCTTATGAAGGATTTAGGGAACACTTTAACGTTTAGGAATGTTTTAAGCAGCATCAATTGAATTATAATGACTTTGATTTGAGTCCATAGGCACCAGTAAACAAAAAAACAATTATTTTTTGAGATTCGGAAGTGACATGATCCCATTTACTAAGATAAAAATTATTACCTATCGATGAATGCAGAAATAAATTAGAGTAAACACAAATATTCAGAGGTCAGTAATGACGGAACTGAACGTACCGCTTTATTTTCATCTATGACCAGGGTGTGAAAGCATATTTCTCCTATCTAATCACTTACCGAACAGCTTGCGTCCTACGGGTTTCATTTATCTTGAGAACTGACAAGTTGTATCTCGTCATTTCCGCAGCCATTCGGCTTGATCTCTCGGTTTTTATTTTCTGTTAAGACATTAGATGCATTTATATCAATTTTTGCTTGGGATGTAAGAATCATGACTTCAGAAAAATGTCGGCAATCTCCATGAAGCTTCACAAGTCGTTCAAATGAAGATGGTGCCCGACTCACAAGGATGGATTTACATGGTCTAAGTGATATTCGATAGCCAGCATTTTTTCAACAAGATGGATTGTTAAGCATGGAGTTGATGACAACATGCCTCCCCTTTCTTCTCAATCCGAACTTAAGACTGTCGGTAACCCATGAAGGACTACAGATAGAGTCGTCACAGTACCTTGACATATTGAAATCAGTTCATCGGTAGATATTGTTTAATCAAAGAACTGTTTGATCTTGCTGGTCACCACAACGACCAAGATCCACATAACATGTCTTACTCTGGAGACAGAAACACAAGCGCAGACGTTTTGGTTGATACTGATGCTACTGTCAGTACCATCTCTCGGAACGAAAGTGTTCTGGATAGAGAAACGTCCACAGTTACAGTTTAAGACGCCAACAAAACTAAAATCGCTATGTTTGAGCAAAAGTCTTTGACTCTTAGTTTGCGGTTTGAGGAGTCATTTCTCTGCTCTTTCACTGTAACTGATCTAAATCTGGAAATATGGGGAATTACATTTTTTAGTGAGATATGAATTTCTAGTCGACGCTATTAAACGACGTTTCACACTGAAATAAACCTCGTGTTACACAAATGGTAAAAAAGTCTCTAAATTTGATAAAACCTCCACCAGTAGCAATTGCGAAATTCCAAAAAGTACTCGCGCGATTTCGAAATCTAGCCAAACCGAACTCAGTTTTTCAGAAGCAAACCTAAGGTAAGTCATATAATCGAAATCGAAGGTGCAAATGTGGTTGCTAGACCAAAAAGGCTAGCATCGGGTAGTTTCAAAATTAGTTTACGAGAAATACGTAGCACTGCCTGACGAACAGTCTGAACCCGATCAAAGGTTGATTTTTTTTAACAGACATTACACAAGAGCGTTTTCATGCTGCCAATACTTGTTAATGAACCACATTAGCCGATCATCATAGTATCTGATCAGTTAGTTTTGACGATTGAAGTAATTGTTGAGCTTAAATACTAATCGACATTGATATGAAGAAACTAACATTCACAGAAACTGGTGAGCTTAAGTGACGAGAAAAATATATATCCCTTAGACAGCTAATAATACACCATTTGGATCGTTCGAGTTTTCACGTATGCCAATCGACCCAAGGAACGCGATACAAATATAAGAAATAGAACTAAATATTACATGGTTTAAGCAACTAAAAGCCGTGTCAGTTTTAGAGACATATAAATAAACTGAAACAACTGAACAAGTAAACACTATCATACAGACACGATAAATATAATCCGAAAATATAGATAATATACTACTGCTTTTAGGAAACCGTCTGTAAAGTAAATTAATTGAAGCAGTAGAGGAGACGATTTGTGGTTCAGGTGGATAATTTTCATGGAGTTTATTTCTCTGAGCTGGATGGTATGGCAATGGAGTTTTCATTGTTATTCTGAACGACATCATCAGCATACACTTCAGATAGAAGTCACTAGATTAAACTTGTAGAGGCTTAAATGTAGGCGTGTTGCTAAAAACCTAACGGGGATATTATAAATGGATTTAAGTTGATTTTAATTCAAACTTGAATGTTTTACTATGGAGAGAAAAAAATGTTTGAAGAATCAGAAATCCATTTACCCGTTTTGTGTTTGAAAAGCTTAAAATTTAAATGACGAAAGTCTGTTTCGGTAGCGTGCGACAAAATGATCTGTTTTTATTTGAAATCAGTTAAACTAAACATTTTATGAAATACTAATCAATTACCTACTTTAAATGAATATCAAGCCTCAAGCAGTTCTTCATAAGAATTCATATGCTTCAGTAGTTATTCACAGTGATTCTGTGAATAATTGTAACACTGATTTTGATTCTGTTCATCGCACAAGTATTTTTGTTCAGTTTAGTTTGTATAAAAGTAAGTTGACAGAAAGTGGTATGAAATTGATTAACTGAAGCTGGTACAACTGGAAATGAAACCTGCATGACGTCACATGCAGTAGTAAAGGAATGCCGTCGTTAGATGTTATGTTCATGATACACAGACGAAAAATTCAGTATGTGATTTCAACGTGATGTCAGTTCATTGACTATTTTCATAGGTCATTAATAAACACCTGTATCTTCTGGATGATCGCTTTTGTAGTTCTCCAAGTTTCCGTTCCATACAGTAGAACTG